ACCCCTGGTCTAGTGGATCCTAAAATTAATGTTCTTTAAAATAATTAAGGCTGAAATGTTTTCGATGCACTTGGTGGAAAACTGAAACAAACAATGCATTTTGGTCAGATTCTATTCTCCATTGTCACCCAGTGGTCTTTTTATGAAGATCTCTCATTATTATTTATGGGGGAAAAACAAATAATAATCTGATTGGCTGTTTCTCAATATGCGTTCTTCAGCGGTCTTGCGTCCTCGTGTTCTCGTGAAACGTCATCATCAGCTGCCTAAGTTCAGTTCCAATACTCAAGACCGCAAGTACGGAGGATGCGTGAAACTTCCCGGATGTGTTCTTGATATCGAGGACGCACTGATGCAGACTTGAGCACCGAACTCGCTCTGGAAGTCCCAGAAGTCATTGTGACTGGAGGTGGGAAGCGCTGCATTTTATTTAGATTTATTATTAAAGTTCAGAGATATCACTTATTTACCTCAGGAGTTTCCCTAAATGAAACGGTGAAAGTTAACATTAACATGAACATCTTAATAGAGGAATAAACACATTAAGGGTTGTTTGTTTGCTGAAATTCGTATTAAAATCTGTTTTATTTATATTGTGCAGAGTATATTTCTAATGTTTTTATGCAAAGTATATATTTTGAAAAGGGGAAAAACAATAAATCGTTGTATGAGTGCTGTAATGTTTAAATAATTTCCATTTAAAACACGTGAAGGTCACATGACCATCAGGAAGAACGCAGCATCCCATTTCTCAAAGGACGCGTTCTCTGTCCTCGCGGTCTCCTGAGTTCGTTCTTCCGAGGACACCTGGCAAGACCGCTCTCCACAAGAATGCAAGTCCGTTCCCTACATTCTTGGAATTGAGAAACAGCCTTAGAGTTTTAAAATTAGAGTTGAAACTGAAAGCAAAATATCTGGATGCTCTTGGCCGAAAACTGAAACCGAAAATGCTTTTTAGTTAAATTCTGCCCCATTTTCCATTCTCACCCAGTAGTCTTTTTGTAGATGTCTCTCATTATTATTGACAAAATATTAGTGAATAATATGTAAATAATACATATATTACTAGCAAAACATCAACATCAATCCCAGACAGTAGTGCATTCCAAAATTAGAGTTCTTTAAAAAAAATTAGGGCTGAAACTGAAAGCAGAAATTCTGGATGCACTACGCCAAAAATGCTTTTTAGTTAAATTCTTTCCCATTTTCCATTGCCAGTGGTCTTTTTGTAAACGTCTCTCAATATTATTGTTAAAAATGTCAATAAATAATGTGTAAATATTACATATATTATTAACAAAACATCACCATCAATGTCAGAAAATATTTTTAAAATTACAGTTCTTAAAAACAATTAGGGCTGAGAGTGAAAGCAAACATATCTGGATGCACTTGACCGAATACTGAAATCAAAAATACTTTTTAGTAAGATTCTCTCTCATTTTCCAATGTCACCCAGTGGACTTTTTGTGAACACCTCTCATTATTGTTGAAAAAAAATAAATAATAAATAAAAAAAAACAGTTATTAATTTGGTAGAGTTTTAAAATTACAGCTCAAACTGAAACTAAAAGTTCTGGATGCACTTGGCCGAAAACTGAAACCGAAAATGCTTTTTAGTTAAATTCTGCCCCATTTTCCATTCTCACCCAGTTGTCTTTTTGTAGATGTCTCTCATTATTATTGACAAAATATTAGTGAATAATATGTAAATAATACATATATTACTAGCAAGACATCAACGTCAATGCCAGACAGTAGTGCATTCCAAAATTAGAGTTCTTTAAAAAAAATTAGGGCTGAAACTGAAAGCAGAAATTCTGGATGCACTACGCCAAAAATGCTTTTTAGTTAAAATCCTTCCCATTTTCCGTTGCCAGTGGTCTTTTTGTAAACGTCTCTCAATATTATTGTTAAAAATGTCAATAAATAATGTGTAAATATTACATATATTATTAACAAAACATCACCATCAATGTCAGAAAGTATTTTTAAAATTACAGTTCTTAAAAAAATTTAGGGCTGAGAGTGAAAGCAAACATATCTGGATGCACTTGACCGAATACTGAAATCAAAAATACTTTTTAGTAAGATTCTCTCTCATTTTCCATTGTCACCCAGTAGACTTTTTGTGAACACCTCTCATTATTGTTGAAAAAAAATAAATAATAAATAAAAAAACAATTATTAATGTGGTAGAGTTTTAAAATTACAGCTCAAACTGAAACTAACAGCCCTGGATGCACTTGGCCGAAAACTGAAACCGAAAATGCATTTTAGTTAGATTCTGTCCCATTCTTCACCTTTTTGTAAATGTCTCTCATTATTGTTATTGCCATAATACAAATGAATAATGTGTAAATAATGTGTATATATTATTAACAAAACATCAACATCAATCCCAGACAGTAGTGGATTCCAAAATTAGAGTTCTTTAAAAAAAAAATGGCTAAAAAATTCTAGATGCACTCGGCAGAAAACCGACCAAAAAATTATTTAATTATTTTATTAAATAATATAGCAATTTGGGGCGAAGCAGTGGCGCTGTAGGTAGTGCTGTCGCCTCACAGCAAGAAGGTCGCTGGTTGGATCCTCGGCTCAGTTGGTGTTTCTGTGTGGAGTTTGCATGTTCTCCCTGCCTTTGCGTGGGTTTCCTCCGGGTGCTCCGGTTTCCCCCACAGTCCAAAGACATGCGATACAGGTGAATTGGGTAGGTTAAATTGTCCGTAGTGTATGAGTGTGTGTGTGGATGTTTCCCAGAGATGGGTTGCGGCTGGAAGGGCATCCGCTGAGTAAAAACTTGCTGGATAAGTTGGCGGTTCATTCCGCTGTGGCGACCCCGGATTAATAAAGGGACTAAGCCGACAAGAAAATGAATGAATGAATATTTTGTAAACCTATTCAAATTGAACTAAGTTACTTAAATTAAACTGACTTATAGAACACACAAGTCAATAGAGCAATGACTGATTCATAACTATTTGGTAAACTTAATGTGGGATCTTAATGTGGGAATTTGAAGCAAGCTTCTGTTTTGGGGTTTTTTAATGGGATCATGAACTAAATAAAATAAAATCAAATGTATTTAAAAAACACATACAATTTTGCTGTACTAAATATCTTCTAAAAATATAAAAAATAAAAAAAATTATTATATTTATGATAATAATAAATAGATATACAAATGACCACAGTGCACTTAAAAGAGGGTTTTAAAGGAGTCATAAACCAAATCAAATCAAATCAAATGGAATTTATTAATAAAGCACATTAAAAATAGAAGTTGACCGTCAAAATAAGGTTTCTTCCAATTTTTATTTGAAGTTAATTCAACAAACTAAACACAATGTGTTTTAGGACAAATTAGTGAGGCTTTATTCTTAGTTTGGGCCTGTGATACAATGTATAGAGCCTCAGGGTGGAGAGAGAGTAAAGCCTTAAAGGACTTTGACCCGTTGGAGAACTTTGTCCTCTCACATCGACTTTCTGGTTAAAAATTGTCAAAAATCAGTGAAGCAAGTAAACAAAAATCAGTGTCTCCATGCCTGACCCCTGAGCCACAACAGTGAGCTTAAATAATGATGACTGCAGGGGATCACTAAGAACCAAAGGCACTTGAGAAATTATTAAAAAAAGAAGTTATTAACAAAGAAAATTTGATTATTTGAAATATTAAACTTGATAGAAACCTTGCTAAAAATAGGACATTTCCAGTTACTTATTTTTGGCATTTGATGGCTCAAACCATTATATTCAATCTTGCAGAAGAGCTTTTACAAAACTCTCCTACTAAAGGGCCGTATTTTTACATCTGACCTGATGTTACATATCTTGTATACTGTTTTTGTTTTCTTTGTTTGTTTTTGCATATATTATAAGATGGTGTTATCAAAAAGAATTGACAAAATCTGCATGTAAAATGTCAAACAAATTGAGATATTCTTTTTAATACAAATACAAGCCATAAAAGAGCTGCAAAATTATTATTATTATTATTATTATTATTATTTTCTTTCAAATATTTCCCAAATGATGTTGAACAGATTTAGGGATCTTTCACAGTATTTCCTATAATATTTGTTTTTTTTCTGGAGAAAGTCTTCTTTGTTTTACTTCGGCTAGGATAAAAGCAGTTTTTATTTTTGTTTTTTTTTAACCATTTTTAGGTCAATATTATAGCTTTTTTTTAAAACATTTATTTATGTGCTTTGCATTTTACAAAACTACAATAAAACTACAACAAAATATATAAAAAAATGAAACAATACAATACAATAATACATTTAAAACGCAATGCGTTAAAAATACTAATACAGAAGGACAAATGCACACGATACTGCATAAATAAAAGCAAATATAAAGTAACATTGCTCTTATATTACCAGAAAAATGCATTATCCTGACTCTTTTATTGTCAAATGATAGTTTAAGCGCATTATTAAAAACATAATAGATTACGAATAGTGACTATCAATTACATTCAATCTTTAACCCTCTACTGCTCGGTGTCACCGTATGGCAATATGATACTTATGTTAAATTTACCAGGCGACGCAGTGGCGCAGTAGGTAGTGTTGTCACCTCACAGCAAGAAGGTTGCTGGGTCGCTGGTTCGAACCACGTCTCAGTTGGCGTTTCTGTGTGGAGTTTGCATGTTCTCCCTGCCTTTGCGTGGGTTTCCTACAGGTGCTCCGGTTTCCCCCACAGTCCAAAGACATGCGGTACAGGTGAATTGGGTAAGCTAAATTGTCTGTAGTGAATGAGTGTGTGTGTGTGTGTGTGTGAGTGTGTGTATAGATGTTTCCTAGAGATGGGTTGCGGCTGGAAGGGCATCCACTGCATAAAAACGTGCTGGATAAGTTGGCGGTTCATTCCACTGTGGCGACCCTGGATTAATAAAGGGACTAAGCCGACAAGAAAATGAATGAATGAATTTCACAGCTGCTGGTAGCACATGTACAAACTGGGGAACATAAAAACATGCAGGTGAAATTAATAAAGATAATCGCAGGGAAGAACATGCAAACTCCACACAGAAACGCGAACTGAGCCAAGGTTCAAACCAGTGAACTTCTTGCTGTGAGGCGACAGCACTACCTACTGCGCCACTGCATTGCCAGTTGTGAGATTTCAGTGTTAATTTTTTCATACAAACACTAGGAACTACTGTAGTTTTCTTAGCTTTTAAGTAAAAGAAAATGAGTATTGCAATAAATCGTTTTTTTTTTTTCTCCTTAACCTCTTACTGTTCCTATTGCCTATAGAATAAAAAAAAAAAAAACATGTGTCAAGCCATGAGAACCGAACCAAAAACTGTGTTAAAAAACCCGAGGTATGTGTTGAACCGTGAGCTAACTGTATTGTTGCATCCCTAATATATATATATACAGTTGAAGTCAGAATTATTAGCCCCCTTCGAATTTTTTTCTTCTTTTTAAAATATTTTCCAAACGATGTTTAACAGAGCAAGGAAATTTTCACAGTATGTCTGATAATATTTTTTCTTTGGGAAAAATTCTTATTTGTTTTATTTCAGCTAGAATAAAAGCAGTTTTAAATTTTTTAAACATCATTTTAGGGACAAAATTATTAGCCCCATTAAGCTAAATTTTTTCTCGATAATCTAACAAGCAAACCATCGATATACAATAACTTGCCTAATTACCTTAACCTGCCTAGTTAACCTAATTAACCTAGTTTAGCCTTTAAATGTCACTTTAAGCTGTATTGAAGTGTCTTGAAAAATATCTAGTAAAATATTATTTACTGTCATCATGGCAAAGAGAAAATAAATCAATAATTAGAAATAAGTTACTAAAATTATTATGTTTAGAAATGTGTTAAAAAAATCTTCTCTCCATTAAAGAGAAATTGGGTAGAAAATAAACAACCGGTCTAGTAATTCAGGGGGGCTAATAATTCTGACTTCAACTGTATATGTATATATATATATATATATATATATATATATATATATATATATATATATATATATATATATATATATATATATATATATATATATATATATATATATATATATATATATATTGCAGTACAAAAAATATTGCAATGTCAGGTTTTTTATATCGTGCAGACTTAGTTGGGGTGAATTAGTTGATTATGAAACTAATGCAGACTGTCTGCTGGTAATGCATGATGATAAATGAGTTTAGCAAACTTGTGAAGTTGTACATTTAATAAGCCCTTCTTTTTTGCAGATCTGCAGATGGCCACATTGTGGGTCAATGAACAAAATAGTCAGCAAAAACATCTATTTATCTAGCCCTTGCGGTTAAAGATCTGGATGGATATAGATATGGATATAGCTTTATGTCAATATGTCTGTTGAGAGAAGTGTTCAATACAATGGAAATTCACAGAAAAAAAGGATGTCTACTGGGATTGTGATTTGATGGGTTTTTATTGTTACAGTGATTATTTCATGAAGGCTCAAAAGGACAGTACACTCAAACATTTCCTCATTTACTCAAATCTAAACTTTTATGAATTTCTTTCTTCTGTTGTACACAAAACAAGACATTACGAAGAATGATGAGGGGGGAAAGCAGCCATTGTCATCCATAATTAGACCAAAAAATACTATGAGAATAAGAGGTAACAAAATCCCTGGGTTCTGTTGCTTTACATATAAGGCAATGACACTAACCAATTCTTCAATAGCGACAATTTCTTGTCTTTTAATTGAAATGTTTGGCATTTATATACAGTATATTATATATTATAATCATGTTTACTGGAAAAGGTACATGTGCTTGTAAAAAGCAGCCACTGACATCCATAATAGGAATAAAAAATACTATGGAAATGAATGGGTGAATAACCAGCATTTTTCAGTAATAATAATAATAATAATAATAATAATAAATATTATTATTATTATTAATAATAATAATTATTATTATTATTATTAATTAATAATTATTATGAATGATAATAATAATAATAATTATTATCATTATTATTATCATTCATAATAATTATTAATTAATAATAATGATAATAATAATAATAATTATTATTATTATTAATTAATAATTATTATGAATAATAATAATAATAATAATAATAATAATAATAATAACAATTATTATTGTTATTATTATTATTATTCCTTACATTTATATGGCGCATTTCTGGACACTCAAAGTGCGTTACATATTATTGGGGTGAATCTCCTCAGTGTGCAGCATAACCCTGGATGAAAACAACAGCAGCCATATTGTACCAGATCGCACACCAGCTGATTGGTGGAGAGGATGATGCACTAAGCAGTATAAAGTCCCCAGCAATGTACTGGGGCGTTAGGACCCACACAGGCTACAGGTTGAGCGCCTCCTGCTGGTCTCACCAATACCACTTCCGGCAGCAACCTAGCTTTCCCATGTGGTCACCCATCCAGGTGCTGACCCAGCACAGCCCTGGTTAGCTTCAGTGGGCGACCATGTGAGGTTGCAGACAGCTAGCTGCCGGTATATCTTCCTTTGTGTTCAAGAGAAGAAAGAAACTCAGGGAAGTTGGAAGTTGGGGGGGTGGTGAACTATCCCTTTTAATTTGCTCCAGAACATGACTTAAAACCCAAATATATTACTAATATCACAACCAAGATGTTAAGACACAGAGCATTATCTAAAGCTTTGAAGTAAGATGTTTTTAAGATCCACCTCTGACACACAAGGACACTTAAACGCAAAATATGCTCATGAGAAAAGTAGATTTTCACCCTTCATGTATACCAGGCATGTCCAAACTCAGTCCCGGTGGGCCGGTGTCCTGCAAAGTTTAGTTCCAACCCCAATCAGACACACCTGGGCTGGCTAGTCAAGCTCTTACCAGGCTTTCTAGAAACATCTTTGCAGGTGTGTTGAGGTAAGTTGGAGCTAAAATCCGCAAGACACCGGCCCTCCAGGACCGAGTTTGGACATCCCTGATTTAAACCAATGCATTTACTCTATTGGCTAGGAAATATCTCCTGATTCAACAAGCCTTCGGTTCCTGCGACAGAGTGATGCTTTTACATACTGAATTACACAGTCACAGTAAACAATTAACAGCAATAGACAGTTTTATTATCTTATCATTGTAGAAACAATAACTTTAAAGCATTTCTTCGAGCTTGTTGCTGTGCAGTTCAACGGTATTGTAATATATAGAACATGTTCATTGTCACAAGAATCAGAAAGTCAATTTACTGACAGGCTTTAGGTATAGGGGCACTTTAAAAATAAGAGCGGTATGAAAACTACAAGGATGAACATGAACAATCACAGTAGTGTTTTGAGTCGGCACGTTTCACGTTTTCCAAACCAAATCAAGCACATCCTATTGAAGGAATATCTGTGTTCAGGTTAAGCTCTATGAAGAGAACTTGTGGCTTAATGCAGACCATGGCAAAGTGATTTCAGTGTGACTAAAACGATTAAAGTACTACAGTGTGGCATTTACAAGAGATGCAGATCAAATGAAAGAGATTGCAGAATTTTCTTATTAAACTTCCTCTATTCTGCTTCTATGTGTAAACTTAAAGGGCCATGAAACCCGCTCGTTTCAGCAGGGTGTTTTCACACCTCTACTTTGGAAAAAGTCTGAAAAGTGGGCGTGTCCAGCTCTGTTTAGGGGGGAGTGTCGGAGGAACTAAAGTTGGATGGTGTGGGAGTGTCTATTTGGGCATGCGCGAGTTTCAGAGTCAAAATACACACACACACACAGGAGAAAGTGATGTTTACATGGACATATGTAGTCGAATTATTTGCCAAATTATTAAATGGTGGACTTTAACTGCAGTTTGGCTCTTTCATTCAGGGAATTCATTTATGCCCCTCGCGACAAACGAGATATTTGATTCGAGGAGCTGCTTTAAGCGTGTATTTTTCATGCAATGTTTGATACCGCACGGCGAATGAGAGAAAAAGAACCTCCGCATTTCCCGGAAACTTAGATGCACACAGCAGGTAGCGTCAGAAAGCCGCGTGTGTTATTCCGGTCACAAAAAAAAGTTTGGTTGTGGTATTATCATGTTTACACTCGATGCAATATTTAAATTCGATATGAACAAACTGAATAAACAAAGAGCACTGATCTCTCACTTACCAAATCTGTAGAGACTGGGCAATCACCAGCAACTAGAGCCACGTCTTTATTAAGAGGAGACTACAAGCGAATCCGGATCTCAGCGTTTGCAGATGAGAACAGCTCTCAGGTAAACAATGTTCCTCCTTAGACACGTAAGTTATTGTTGTCGAGCGTCGCGTACACTGTTAATCCACGTGACTCCAGCTGAGCTCTCAAAGAGAGAAAATAAAAACGAAACTTAACGGCAGCAAACTATTAAAGCAACACTTCACGCTTGTTTTGCCAATACAATGTGGCGTCTCTGTCGTGTAAACACGGCGAGAGTAATGAATATTAATGAAGTTGCACAATAGAGCACGCTGATTGGTTTGAACCAAGCCTTACTCATGCATTAATGCATCACACTGTAAGACGTAATTAGACACACTCTGGCACAGACGTCCAGTCTGCACGCTGGAATACAACGCTATGTCATGGCCGTGACGCAGCTTCAAAAATTCGTTTCAAACCGGAAGTACGAATTTGCTTGAAATAACGCAAAAACAACCGATTTACACATTTTAGTGAAATATAGGTGTCCTAATAGTGTTTTTAGCAGTGTGGGACACATATACGACTGTCAACAGCTCAAACACATGTGTTTTGGTGTTTCTTGACCCTTTAAGTCTTAACTTCATTACCATGATCATGTAAACTCTATACCTACTCTTAATAAAGAACATTATACTAAGAAACAAATAAGCAGCATGTTATAAGCACGACACTTCCTATGGTCTAATTTTCATAAGTTGTCCTTTTGTGAGTCCCCCCAGTAGTAATCAACACTATGCCACAAGTTCTGTTCCAAGATTACTCCTTTAATATCATCTATGTAGCATTTATAAACCAAAACACTTTCTCAAAACACTATATTAATGCCTGTATAGCAGCACGGAAAACCCATAAATAACAAATGAGAACTGACATGCATGCATGAAGAACAATATTCTCGGTTATTGCCATCAGTTGTGCTATATTTCAAACTCCATTTGCTCGAAGCATCCACAGTAATACCCATAAGCCATCCTCCATTTGTTTCATGGCAGTGGTGAATGGTTACGTCTCAAGCTGCCTGATCCCGGCCACTATATGCCACAGGTCAGGAATCATCGAGAAGCATCAGTAATGAAGCCATTGATTTAAAGTGACTAGTCTTATAAATTGTCCACACAGGAGTCTTAACACGTGGAGGAGCGTCTCCTTTGCAAGTATGTGTAGACCTTCACACAGTGGTCCCAGCAATCTAGGACAAGCAATTGTCCCTTCTGGGTAACAGCTACCCCTACAGGGCATGTAAGGCCCTCTTGAATGAGAATATTGTAGCCTCCTTCTTTAGGGAATTGCAGGATCTCCTTACGGCCACTGTCTGTCACGATCAAGTCCCCATTCGAGTCCACGCACATGCCGGTGATGCAACGAAAGTCCTCGGTCTCTGAGAAGAAGTGGCTGAGCTGCTTTCCCAGCTGCCCGTCCATTCCTACCGAGCCAATAGAGAAGCCACCCTCGAGGTGATGTTCGTTGTGCCTATTCTCGATATTCAGACCCAAGCCTTGCGTGAAGTAGACTGTACCTGAGGAGTCGCAAGTTACGAATTTGGGCCTCACGGCAGAGCACAGTCGGTTGTAGTTCACAACCCCTACATTACGATCTACAGCCAGGCACCATAACTTTCCTCCCTCTACATCTGACACCACAAACTGCCCTGAAGGCATGGCCGCGATTCCCCATGGCTTAATTAGCTGGTTCTTGTGACAGGCAATGCAGTGGCCATCGGTGGTGTAAACCTTCACAGAGTTGTCATAGTTATCGGTGACGCCGATGAGGCCCTGAGCTGTGATTGCAATGGAGAGAGGGATGAGGTTGGGAAGGTCAGCACCAAGGAAGCTCAAAACAAAGTTGTCGATGCTACTCGGATTGCGCCGTATTTCCCTTTGGAAGCCCTTGCGGTTAAAGATCTGGATGCGGTAGTTTCCTCGATCCGCTACGAGAACCTCACCTTGCAGCGTGACGCAAATGCTAACTGGCAAGTTGAACATTCCTGGAAGATTGCCCTTGCAACCCATCTTTTTTACGAACTGACAAAGTTGCCCACCGGAGGCTCCTGGAGAAGGTCCTCCTCCATCAACGGATTTAGACTTGAAGCTTCCAGGAGAAGCACAAACAGCCTCTTCAACTGCCGGCACCATGTCAATATCTCGATAAATGTCTAAAGGAGCGGAAGTGGCAGTGGGAAAATCAAGTCCATCCTCTTCTTCTTCAACATTGACATTGCAGGGTTTTGTAGTCAGCTGCCCTACCTCCAGTGACTTTGAGTTCTCAATTTTAACAAGTTCGGGATCCTGCAGTTTCAGAACAACAGGCAGATTGGTTTTCAAGTCCAGATCTTCTTCTTCATCGTTATTGCTTCCCTCTTCCAGCAGAGCAATATCCGTCTGCTTGATTCTCATGGTAAGATAGTCGCACCTTGATACAACCTGCACTTCTGCAATATTAAGCAGGTATGTTTGCTCCTCCAGAATCTGTGCGTTGAGTTTCTCTATTTCGGCTAAGGAGGCGGCGAAGGCACGGCGTGAGCGGCCAAGTTCCTCCTGAAGCCGCAACTCAGCCTTGGCGTACTCCTGCTGTACAGCCTTATACTTCATTCGGAGCGATTTGGTCACATTATCAATAGCTGCCTTCTTCTTCTGAATGTTTCCCATTGCCTCCCGCAAGTCTGAAAGCTTTGCTCCGATATCCTTCCGGCGCAGTTCTGCAGCCATGCGAATGGCTTGTACGACGTGACCCTGCCGCTGGTGACCCTCGTTTTTACAAATATCACACAACACAATGCTGCAATCACAACAGTACTGGCGGGGAAGGCGGTTCTTACAAGATTTGCACATGAGACCCATGTTGGAGCTACATGCACTTGCACAGTCAATGATCTTCAGCACGGTGAGATTGTCGGCCAGCTGCGAAATACTGCTCATGCGGGACACCTTGCTGCAGAATGGGCAGCGCACGCCGTTTATCGTGCTGGCGAGGAGTTTCTCAAGGCACTGGCGACACACTGAGTGACCACACTGCAGAAGTTTGGGTCGAAGCTGATCCTGGTTGTAGGTCTCTAGGCAGATGGGGCATTCCAGCACCTCGCGAACCAATTCTGGATCTAGAGACGTTGACGTTGCCATGATGCCTTCCAGTTCCAAAGGCGTCTATAGAGGAGGAAAAAAGTCATGTTTATATGTTTGATGTGTATTAAGCTCAGCTATAATAAAGAACTCTCACACTAGTCACTGAGTAAAATACAGTATCAAATATGGCCTGTTGCAAAGCTGATTTTAAGTAAATGGGCATATTTACTTAGAGCTGTGGTGAAAAATAGTTTCTAAGAAATTGCATTGCATTGATTCTTTCTTGAACCAATATTGAGTTGAGTTTTTTTAACAGCAGATGGCGCTGTATGCTATACAAACAGTCGTACTCTGCTTTGCATTTATTTCCCAACAAATACATCTCGAACCAAAAATAATCATTAATATAGTTATAAAAAGTTTAAGTTACATGACTCAGGCGAATGTACAAGCACTATTCCTTGTGTGTGTCTGCTGTTAAAAACTAGCCTAGACCACCATCTACCATTATGAACTAGCCTACAGCACCCTCTGCTGTTAAAAAACTAGCCTAGAGCACTGTCTGCAGTTAAAAATAGCCTAGACTACCATCTGCTGTTAAAAACTAGCCTACAGCACCCTATGCTGTTAAAAAACTAGCCTAGAGCACCCTCTGCTGTTAAAAAACTAGCCTAGAGCACTGTCTGCTGTTAAAAGCTAGTCTAGAGTGTCCTCTGCTGTTAAAAACTTGCATAGAGCGCCATTTACTGTTAAGAACTAGCCTAGAGTGCCCTCTGCTGCTAAAAACCTGCATAGAGTGCCATCTGCTGTTAAAAACTAGCCTAGAGTGCCCTCTGCTGTTAAAAACTGGCATGGAGTGCCGTCTGCTGTTAAAAACTAGCCTAGAGTGCCGTCTGCTGTTATAAACTAGCCTAGAGCACACTCTCTGCTGTTAAAAACTAGTCTAGAGCACTGTCTGCTGTTAAAAACTAGCCTAGAATACCCTTTGCTGATAAAAACTAGCATAGAGCATCATCTGCTGTTAAGAACTAGCCTAGAGCGCGGTCTGCTGTTAAAAAACTAGCCCAGAGTGCAGTCTGCTAATAAAAGCTAGTCTAGAGTGCCCTTTGCTGTTAAAAACTTGCATAGAGTGCCCTCTGCTGCTAAAAACCTGCATAGAGTGCCCTCTGCTGTTAAAAACTGGCATGGAGTGCCGTCTGCTGTTAAAAACTAGCCTAGAGTGCCGTCTGCTGTTATAAACTAGCCTAGAGCACACTCTCTGCTGTTAAAAACTAGTCTAGAGCACTGTCTGCTGTTAAAAACTAGTCTAGAGCACTGTCTGCTGTTAAAAACTAGTCTAGAGCACTGTCTGCTGTTAAACACTAGCCTAGAATACCCTCTGCTGATAAAAACTAGCATAGAGCGTCATCTGCTGTTAAGAACTAGCCTAGAGCGCCGTCTGCTGTTAAAAAACTAGCCCAGAGTGCAGTCTGCTGTTAAAAACTTGCATGGAGCGTCCTCTGCTGTTAAGAACTAGCCTAGAGCGCCGTCTGCTGTTAAAAACTAGCCCAGAGTGCAAAGTCTGCTGTTAAAAACTTGCATGGAGCGTCCTCTGCTGTTAAGAACTAGCCTAGAGCGCCGTCTGCTGTTAAAAACTTGCATGGAGCGTCCTCTGCTGTTAAGAACTAGCCTAGAGCGCCGTCTGCTGTTAAAAACTAGCCCAGAGTGCAGTCTGCTGTTAAAAACTTGCATAGAGCACCTTCTGCTGTTAAAAACTAGTCTAGAGTGCCCTCTGCTGTTAAAAACTTGCATAGAGCGCCATCTGCTGTTAAAAACTAGCCTAGAGTGCCCTCATTTAATATATTTATAATATCTTTAGCACTAAATGAAAATCAGCATGCCTATTTGTTATTCATCTATTTATTTACTTTGGGTAGAGCTTTGCACAACTATAAACAATATTGCAGAACATATCGGAACTGAACCTACAACACACACAGGTCTGTAAATCATTCATGAAATTTTTACATTTAGAAGACATTTTCAGAAAAAAAAAGAATGAAACATTTTTATAAAATTTACATTTGACAACTAGTTCAACATGTTTTGTATGTAATGACTCTAATAATGAAATAAGGACTGTACATTTTATATGGAATGACTATTCAGCATTCACAAGTTCAGTTAATTTTGACTGACCTGACATAAGCAGATGATAATGTTATAAACAGCAGAGAGTTGTATAAAAGCAGTTAATGCATGTCCAAAAGCATCTGCAGTCTGTTGGAAGGAATGAGAATCTGCTACTAGGATGTGCACAACTGACTAAATGTTTAGAGAAATGCTTTAACTGTTGTGCAAATGTAAATAGTGTTCTGAGAAATGCACCAAAGCCACTGAGAGAAACTGTATATGTCTTACACTCAAGTTCATGCCCTTGTTTTCTTTTCTTTCTTACTCCTTCTTTCTGCTTTTTTTTTTTTCATTGACTATGTGTATTATTGATATTTGATGTACAATACTGTTTACATGTCACCTCTGCATTATAATTGCATTAATAATATTAAAATAACTCACAAGCTAAAATTATTACATTAAAAACACTTGCATTATGCATTACCAAACATGCTACAACAGTGCAAACAATGGATGGGAAAGCCTGGGAAAAATGTCACGTCATTATAAAAGACATGCAATAATGCTGATTTTCCACTTACTGGCTTTCTTACCACACCTAATGAGGTATTTTACCTTATGATCATATATTATTCAGACAAAAGGATTACAGATACAACGGAATATACCGAATTTAAGTAACAGCGTGCTTTGTGTTTGTTTTGGTAGCCATATGGCTAACTAGGATCACCATCTTGAATTTTGACCACGCATTGTCATTCATTGCACCAGTTTTATGCATGCATTATTAACATGTCATATTAACGCAGCTCATAATAGACAGCTTCGCTGTTATTATTATGTTTACATGCCCAATCAGCTGATTTACAGGCCTAAATTTTCAAAACACTGCGATCGGAGTCTTGTCATTCATGTCTACTAAGTTTGTGCCGTTCAAAATGAAAGTTAGATCACATATAAAGAGTAAAATGCGTGTTTACTTGGTGATCGTTATATGATTTCCTACCTTCAGTTCAACAGTAGCCTGATGTGACGACGCGCGCGTCTCTCATGTCAGCGGGTGCGCGCGACACTGCGGAGGTGACGTCATAACGGCGGGTGATTCTTCGTGTAAATCCCGCCTCCGGTGAGATGTCGTTGGCTGCTGTGCAAGAGTGTGTGTTGATTGACGCGCGCTGGAGCCAATCAGACGAGAGTCTGTTGTTGTCACGCCTGATGCGCAAAGTAATTTCAGTGGCGCATGTTAAAGAGCTCACATTATTGCTGCTGCTGGAAACACACACGGGAGGATCCAAAATGTAAGGAAACAAACACTAGGGAGAGATTAAAGGTTTTATTTTAGGAATATTACATCTTAAATATTATAATAAAAAATAATAATCCAAAAATGTTAAAAATATATGCCTTAGTGTTGGTCTGTTGGTATGAAAAATATGGGATTGAAAAGTTTATATTACATGCAATTAAACTAATATTATATTATTACATTATGTTTTTTACTGCAACTAATGATATGATAATTATTAAATTATATAAATATGGAATATTAAAACATCAAAATATATATTTAGATTTAATAAAACATTTTAAAAATACATAATGCTAATACGACTAAAATATGGGATTGAAAATGTTTTATTGTATAAAATGAAACATTATTATGTATTATTATATTATATTATATTATATTATATCATATATTACTGCAACAAATAATAGGATGATTACTAAATAATATAAATATGTAATATTAAAATATCAAATTGTATTTAGATTGTAGATTGCACTTTAACTTTATAATAAATGTCAGAAATAAAATTCTCTTTCACAATGAAACGTAACTGCAATATCATAATGTACCACTGGGTGACAGCAAATCTCTGCCTGGAAGTTTATTAAGTGGGGATATGGCAGATCATATGGTATTTGATGTTAAACTATTAGTTTTGCAGAATTTTAAAATTAATTTAAAATAAGACGATAGAAAGGACAACTGTGTAATGAATTAC